TTGAGATGTATCAGGAATATGTGTAAAATTACTAACTTAAAATGTTTTACATTACATGTCAACGCGTTACGGTGTTTTATTTAGTAAGTCTCGGGCGAAGCCGGGACGGGGGGCTGCTAGTTTAATATAAAATCAACACACAGTTGTTCCGTCGTTCAATGTGAACACTCATGCGTTTGTTGATCTAGGGACTCTAGGGAAATAAAGAGCAAGTGAGATAGAAAACGATATATAACGACTGCGGTACTGTATGCAGCAGCCACGCTCGTAGAAGTCGTTCCATTACGTATAAAATTCAATTACAAACAAAATTTGTATTAAAATCTGTTATACTGGCACTATGGGAATCATATTAGTATGTTATACTCCTGTGATGGCTGTTTTCTTAGATGAAAAATTTAGTTGGAAATAATATAATTATAAACTTTATTTATAAGTATTGAGGTTATGATCCAAGTGTTTCGGTTTTCGTCAGCTGAGTGTAGTACATTGTCGACTATAGCTGTATACACATGAGTAGCTGACGACTGACATAAGAAAGTTAGTAGGAGAGAGCTGCGCAGCAGGTTAGTGCGCAACAAAAAAATTTCCGTCCTGGTCAGGAATGCACAACTTCCCAGCCTGAAATCAGGACGGGAATGCGAACTTCCCATCAGGGTATGATGAAACAGTATATTGCGTACGAGTTTGCAAAGGCTTCGATTTACGAACCGAGAGGTTTACGGCACGAGCCGAAGGCGAGGGCCGTAACGAGGTTCGTAAAGAAGCCTTTTCAAACGAGTTTCGTATACTATTTTTCTGCCTGAGAACCCAAAATCAAGCGGCGAAGGTGCTATTTTGAGGTTAGAAGGCGGAAAATTTTTTTTATTGTTTAATCCATTGAAAACGTTAAGACTTATTTCATTACCAAAATTGGATGTGTTTTTAAAAAAATTTTATTATTCCAAATTATTTACAAAATAATTATACAAATTTAAAAACAGTCTCTATTCTATGCAACGCATTGCACATGAAATTTTTTACTTTGATCACAGATAAGTTTAATCTTAAATAACGAACTATAATAAACTCTGAAGTTATTGTCACAGAAAATAAAGCAATATGTATTACAACTAATTTAAAAATATTGACAAAAACTGAGATGATTGATTAACATTTGTCGATGGATTTGACGAAATTTTGTTGGTATAACCTTAAAAAAAATTTTAATGCAAAACTTTAATATAAAAATTGCATACTTGGTTTGTATATAAATTGATCTTTGTCCTGCTGCCTTTTAAAATTACAAAGCTAACGTCTCAAAGTTTCACGAGGAATGTTGTATTTTTCAGCATCACTTCTTATTTTCTACCCACTAATTACCGAATTTATTGCATGTTGCAAGTTTTCCTCAGACCATAATTGTCTTTTAGTCTTTTTAATAAACAAGGCATCAAATTCAAGTACACCAGCTCATCTATCAATTTCAGTAGTTAAAAGTCCCCAAATAATAACTTTTACTATTTTTTTCACCTAATAAATTTGGTTATAATTTTTTTTTTGGGATGAAAATTTCAATTGTCAATAATAACTTTATCATTCGATTACCTATGTGATTTTTGTTGTCATTCATTATTATGCATTCAAATGTATTAAAAAAAAAAAACTTAAAACTATAGGTCACCTAGTTACGTAAATATAGCCAAGACCAATATTCCCCAGTGACTCATATGGCCCCGGTCTCCCCTAGCATAATATTCATAGTTTGAACGCAAACTGACACCAGGTGCGCTGTCACCCACATGTCGGTAACAATTTCTATTACTGAATAAAAAAGATGACTAATTGAAATGTATTACATAATGTAATGAGCAGTTGACTATAACTCACCAAAATATACTGCATTCACTTATCACATTGCTCATGTGTGCAATGGAACCTGCTATAAGACCTTAATTACAGTATCTGTAATTGTAAGTATGGAAAAATAGAGCTTATACAACTACTAAGAGTAGATCACAGACTATGCAGTCTTTGAGGATTTCCGAGCATACACTATACACCCAAATAGGTTGTGGCTCATATTATTGGCTCTGAGAATGATATTTGGTACCCCAGTTCGTAGCAGAAGTTGAAAACATAGAGGACGCCAATGGTATCAAATCTACGTAGTTCATAGAAATCTTTGAATGTCTAAAATGTTAATTATTTTATAGTAACACGTAAAGCGTAAAAGTTCCAGAAAATTTTAATGTGAGTATGTGTTTTTTCTAATTAAAGTAGGCGTTTTCATATTAAAGCCATTAAAGGTTTAAAGAGCCTGCAAAAATATGATGTATACACCTATAGCATTAGTCAATTCAAACTGTGCATCTACTCGGTGCTTTGCTCTTAGTGTTGCGATATATTATATACTTATATAAATACATATATGGTGAAGCAGATGAAATTAATTGTTCTTGCTTAAATTTATTAAACTTGTAATGGCTTTAATGACAGAGTGCTAGCAATGATTTACGTGAGATGAATAAGAACTTACTGATAATTCAATTTACTATGTGTCTTACGCTTTGTGTGTCATTATAAAGTACTGACTTTTTAAAAATATTTAAAGATCTCTGCAAACAACTTGCATTTAGTTAAAAGATGATCCTTATATCTACTGCAATATAAACAACATTGGCGCTCTCTCTTGGCCTGGTGCTGAAAACTAAGCTATTTAATTTATAATGCTTGGGATAATGGCAGTTATAATGATTGTTGTAATTATAATAATTAGAAAAGATCATTCTTAGTTATGCAAGGGCTTTCCAAGAATTTAGAAATCGATTTTCTTTTGCTTTAGGAATTCTTAGGCCTGAACAAGTGTCCTAAATGACTATGGGCATGACACATCCCCAACGGAAACAAGCTTGGCCTTAAAAATAACGGGCCTTCAACGTAAAGAAATAGCCTATGTAACTACTGGAATTACTTACCTCAAACTAAAACAAGCATGGCCTTAAGTTAACGGCCACTCATACTTTTGAAAAGATTTCCAAACAACAACTTAACGACTTAGCCCAAGGATATTCACGGACAAATTTGGATAAATAACTGGCCTACGTTACTTTTGGCACAAGTCGCAGGCTTTAAAAGGAGTTTGAGATTCTGTTCCAGGTGGAGCTTACGACGCTCTATTTTGGTGCTCCCCCTCCAAAAATCTACGGCGAGTATTTAATCTGTAGTTATTATTATTATCAATTAGGGTAGTCCAAGTGAGTAATCGCGTTCTTAAGTGTGTTCAAGATACCCGCACAACATCTCCTGGGAAATATTCAGAAACATCCCATCAGGACCTTACTCATCAAATTTGTCCTAAACTAAGGCACGCAGGGACCGACTTCCCCGTACTCCATCAACCTGGCACTTCAGTGCTTAACCAAGTGACGAGTCCACCACCCTAGACCACACAGAGGATGGAGCGTGCTATCTACGCCTTCATGTTCTATGACTGTGAGCCAGGTCATAACACTTTAATGCCACTGAGATCCCCTCACGGCATTACATTTCACTTGTTTGGCACCATGCAAGGCGCTGGCACATATTGATTATCCTTTTCAAGATCATTCTCAGAATAAATAAGATAGATGGAATGGATCAGAGATATGAGAAGTAGGTCAAAATAGAAAAAAGTGTAATATATGTAATAAAAACTACTACTAAAGAATGTGTTGAAAAAAACTCTCAACTCGTATTGTATATTTTTTAATGGATAGAATTAATAAACTCAATATGACAACTTCATACCAATATATGTATGTTCAGTAACTGACACAATGTATGTTCAGTAACTCGAAAAATTCCCGTTTGAATGTATCAGTTTCTCTGTCTAAAATTTTAACTTTATTAAAATCAAAACGATGAGACTTACTGTTACAACGTTTCGCTAGAACATACCTATTATCATTCTTATAACTATCGCATTCATGATTATCTAATCTAGTCTTCAATAAACGTGAGATCCATCCTGTGTGACTTGCATCCCCATGACCACAAAAGATTTAATTTACAACGCCATGTGTCATTTCTTTAGTTAGTTCATCTTTACCACAGTCTACACAGTTGCGACACTCAATACTTTGAAAGCCTAATAAATTTTTAGTGCACATGACACGATTGACACAATTTAGAACAGGGTGGTCCAGCGCATAAATTTAAATAATACAAAATTGTCAGCTTTCAATTTGTAGTAGATGAGTACAAAATTCCAGTTTGTATACGTAAAACTGTATTTCAGTTCGAAAAAATAGTTATACAAAGCATTACGAAAACTAATGTTTGAGGTCGTGATAAGTAAACTGTGAGATTCATAAATGTTTTGAATTTGAAAAACGAGAGTGACACAACCAGACACATGGTAACCTCACGTACGCTTCTGTAAAGAAGTGTCGCAACTGTGTAAACTACGTCTTTATCTAACTTGATACATAAGGAAAATGTTGTTGACATTTATTGTAAGAAAAAATACTTGTTTTTTTACAAAAAAATAATTGGTTATAGTTTTGAACATGACTTGTCTATTTATCACAAAAAAAGACTGGTTATTATTCTGGTATTAGACTGGTTACATATTATTCAGAAAAGATTATAGTACATTCAAATATTAACGCTGCCCATTAATGGAATGATGTACTACTTCAAAAGAAAGTTATTCAATTAGCTTTTGATATTTAACTTTCATACTAATGAGTCTAAATATAATATAATTATAATGAAATATTTGACTATATGGTGAAAAAAATAAATGAAAATAATAAAATCGGCAACTATAAAGAAATATTTGTAAGTTTTTGATTTGCAGGGTTACTTGAAACTAACAACAAGCTGTTTACTTACTCAGTTATATTTGATTGATATTTATTAAATTTGACATACAACACTTAATTTTTTACTTTCATATTAGTTGATTGAAAATTTAAATAAGTAATAATTATTTTTATGGATTAGATATGTAGTTGATATTAGAATTTCTTTCGTAGTTAATTTTTATCTCCATCAAAGTACCCAATTAAACCTACAATAGCGACTCCATTTTGAGCAAAGCAATCGTGAATCTCTCTTCCAGCAGCACACAGACTGTTTGTACCTAAAAATATTTAACATGAAAATTTGACAATTTCATAGTTGTAACGAATGTTTATTCCACTTTGACTCATCTAGATAGCGTCCAGGGCCCATTTAAACCAATTATTAAACAAAGTGATTATTGCTGAATAAAAAGCAGCACTTACATTCCAATTTAGGATAGTTAAACAGTCCAAAATTCTTGTTGCATTCTAAATTGAATTTTAAATGTTACATATTTTATGATAAAAAAAATAAAAAAGCAAGCTGAATTCTACCCTGGTAAACGTTACTTATGGGTTACCCATAAACTGGGTAGAAAATCGTTAACATGTTATTAGCCCATTTACGCATGTACATTGACGAGTTTCTAGCCAGTTTATGCAGTAATTTTCTACCAAGGTAAGTGTGAAATTACAACCAATAAGGCTTGCAGCAAAACTGTTGACAGAATTCTCAATAAATACACAAAATTGGGAAACAACTGGGTTTATAATGTTTTTTCATCGACTTATACATAATTGAAGAAATTGATACGAGTAAAATGATATCTTACAAATCTTACTATCTTACTATCCTTAGTCTTCATGGCAATTTCAATCAAAGAAGGGTTATAGTTTTCGTTTTAAATACTCGAAAATCAATAAAAAAAAAAAAAAATTACTTATTCACGTTTCTTATCTAAACTGATTATTGCCCAGAAGGCACTAAGAGTATTTTTGAGTCATTTATATACTAATCTTAAACGTCTTTCGTGACATGTCCCAGTATTCGGTCATATCCCCGTAGTCGATCATTTGGCTGATTTTTCCAATGGTAATTTTTACGACATAGATAAATTGGGTGGTTATTCAGACACTAAACAATAACTTTCTAAATAGAAAGTAACGTCCATAACTAAATGAAAATATATTGAAACTATGTACACAAAAAGTGACCGATTATTGCGACACTTCATCTGTTCAAGTGACTGAGTACTGGAACATCGACCTTATGATGTTTATCGTGTTTTCTGTCAGAATCAAAAACAATTAGGGCTAGACAGGTTTTGAGGACATCACTTAATATTTTTTGGTATCTAGAGTCTTGACTGAAAAAGCAGTGATTCTATTTGTAGTAATAGATAATTTGAATAACATTAAAATTTTTATTGTATGTGTTATTTTGAGTAAAAATGAGCTTAAAAGACTTTTTTGAATTTTTTTGGGAAACGGACTTTTGAAAATCAAACTAAATGACACATTGCAGAATTGATCGTAAATGCATGATGATGATTAAAGATGTAAACAGTGTTTTTTCTTACTTATATTTGTGCACTGATTAATGACGTGGTGTGCTGTTGGAATAGAGAGTAATCGAGTGACAGAAGTCACAACCGCTTCGAAGTTTAATGTTTTCTCAAAAAGCGATAGCTGGAATAAAAGTAGTGTACTTTCAATGATAAATTATTTTGTAAAATTGTTAATTTTACATACATGTTTCAAGTGGGTACAATAGCAGCCTACGTAACAATAGTAATTCGTGTCTGATAAGTATGCAAGTGTGTCTCGTATTAGTTTATGTTTCTCTGAAACAAATCAGTGTGAATTAGAGACATGAAATTAAAAATTCTGAAACGAGTTCTGACGAAAAAAAAACTCATCAAGCTAGACGCTTGTTTAACATGTGATTGATTTCTCAAGTCCATGAAATTAAAATTTTTTTTAAGTATAAGAATTACTACCTTTCGTAAAACCAGTTTCCCAATAGCAAAAGTTTTGCAGACTTATAATTGAATTACGTTTGTGGTCCAGTAATTCCGGATCATTTTTCATCTATTAAAAAACACACAAAAAAAGTTTTTGGATTTTTATTTGTTCCAATTTTCATATAACCATTGATTCTTAGAGTGGCAAAAAATGTATACTAGTCATAATGATATTGCTTAGAGTTTTGGTGAAAACATGGACTTTACTTAGATTTAACTAATAAATTAAAAACTGTTTGTCATTTTTATTCTGGTACTCTAGAACTTCAATATTATTTTATATTTCATCGTTTGAGAAGAAAAAACAGTTTTTACGAACCGATAGAGCAAAGTTGATGGACAAAGCAAAGGTAAGCATAAGCAACTTGTTCATTGTCTAATATTAAAAGACGGAAAATTTCTGGCGAGCCTGGATAAAAGCACAAGTTTTTGTTTTATATGAGTGTACTTTACCGAGAGCTCTGAATTTATGTATTAAATGTATATCTTTAAATAAATTAGAAAACGACGAAAGTACGCCGTTCTCTTTTCATCGTAGTTCATAAGTATTTCTGAGCTGGTTCTGTAAATAGAAAATTGATAAAAAAAATTACCAATCGCAATTTTATTTAAAACTCGTTATTATTTATTAAAGTTCACGTATTTTTAAGCTAAAAAAAACGTTTTTAAGAAACATTTGACTTTTATTGACAATTTTCTATGTAAATTGTTACATTCATGGTTTACAAACATGAATTAGTCGTGAGGTTGTCTCATAGATTCTTATATTTTCCTTGGTAGGAATATCTTTGGCTGTAGAATGTAACAGTTAAAATTGAAAAACTTTTGTTGAGCCGTTTAAAGAATATTTGTAATAAAAATCTACAATTTAATGCAATTGTTTATGGAGATATCATTTCAATTCTTACTTCAAGGAAGAAAAACGTTGTGAATTTAAAGAATTTTTTTTTATGATAGAATGTGATGAAATAAACAGTCTGTTTTAGTTTAAGAGAGTCCTACTAATTATTTATTTAATGAAAAACCAAAAAAAGGGTCATGTTTGCGATTCTACTTACAACGTTGTAAGTAGTGCCCAATTAGGGGTTTAATTAAATTTAATCGTCCATTGTCCCCTTGGTAAAAAAGTAGCGTTTCACGGGTGTGCATCCAACCTAAGTAATCACAAAGAAAACTATTTTGATTTATTTAATTTTAAAGGATATCATGTTGGTGAGTGTGAGGTATTGTGTCCAAAATTTGAACTTTTCCCTGCTTCATGATAAAATGTTTAAAAAATTGAAATTCCTGTGTGAATAATAATAAGTAGTGGAGATAAACGTATACGGTACAAACATGTTTACAAGATATTTTCCATGCAAACGTTTATAGTTTGTAAACTATACAATTACGAGTAGAGATTTAAATGACGATATTACTTACAGATAGTAAAAAATACCTTATAAATTAATAATATAAAGGATAGTTCTACAACAATAAATAAATTATATTGTACTTAAAAAAATTAATAAAATTGATGTGATGTTTTCATTGATTCTTCCTTCCAAATTATAAGACTTGTAAAATGTAGTTGGACCTCCTCTGTCATGCATACTAACTGGATGACACCATAATCATAAAAATTATTGTAATTTACCGTTATGCTGAAAACATTCAAGAACATTAATTGACCTTTTATATCCTTATACACGTGCCACACCATCTACATATAATTCCAAATGAAAGTAATAGACACACGTACATGTTCTCGAAAAGTTGCTAGTTACGTGTAGTCCGTTTATCTCTAAAATTTCTCCACACTAACTGTAACGAACATCCTTAAGTTGTGTCAATTGAGTGGTATTAAGTTAAAACTATAGTAATAAGTTATTTAACTATAACACTAGTTGAATACCTTAAGTATAAAAACCTTCTTTATCACATTATTAAATATGATATTAACTTACAGTGTGCTACAACCAATTAAAAATCACCTATTAGGTACGTTTGATTTTGAGAAAAAAAATTAATACTCGATGGAAACAACTATTTTGACACAAATACAGCTTGAACACGTCCTCAGGCTTAGTATTTATCCAAGATGAATATGCATCTGAAGCAAATCTTGCTTTTGCTATTGTAGTGGACTCAAAATTAAAAAAAAAGTCCGTGATTGATAGAGTAGTTGAGTCGAATACTGATCACGCCAATAAAACAAGATAATCGGAAAACAAGTAAAATTATACTTTAAGTACGGAATATACTAATCTATAAAGTAAAAATGAAAATTTTTATTCGCCTCGAAAATATACTTTAATCAATCACCTTTTGAGCTCTACTAAATATTAAGAAAGTGACCCCATTTTTTTCGTATCGTTACATTTTTTTTCTAGAGTGTTTTTATATTAGTCTAGGTAAAACATTTTTTTTTTCTTTTCTGGAGTTTTTTATGCTCTATTATTCCATAACAACTATCAGAATTACTATTATATTGATATTTTTGTGTACGTCTTCTCTACTATCTTTATAATACGTAAAAGTATGTATGGTTAAAATGTAAAATAAATATGGTTTAAGATGTTAATAAATATTTCACTATAACAACATACATCAACATGTAACTTGAGCAAACACAGAATTGTCTTGGGATTAGGTTTAAAATTGGTTGTTGCTACTTCAATTGTACCATGGACTATTTACAAAAAATATTTTACACAAGTAGAGCTCGCAATACCTACGATATCCACAATGAGAATAGACTAAACCTTAGTGCAACAAAGTCCATTTATTCTATTTTACAACAAATACATTTTTGTGTTGAAACGAAAAAGTACTTTTTAGTAAACAAGTTCTTTTTTTTTTGAATATCTACATACAGAAAAAATGACCTTACAATTACCTTGTAGCTAATGTGTTGTATGAAAGTAACAATAAAAAATAAGCTTATCATGAAAAGTTAAGAGCCGACAAATTAAAAGTGAATTTATTAAAAATTGACCTTCTGTCTGATGCGAGTCAATTAAAAAAAATAAAATTATACTTATCACGTTGAAAGAGATTAGTTAGTCGTGGAAATACCTATTCTGTCATTGTGCATTATAAGTATTTATGAACTAGCTCTGCTAATGTGATATGGATAAGACATTTTTTTTTATAGCCACTTGGCCAAAAGTCGTCATTTCATAGTTAAGGAACTCTATCTGCCAACTCGTTAGGGATATTTGAGGACTTTTAATTTAAATTTATCAATTTTTACTGATGTCTTATTAATGTGATTTTTTATTAGAATGATTATGTATAATCATACGCTAAAAGTATTTTGTCGTCTTAGTGTAAAAAAAGTGGTTAATCATACTTCAGCTAGAGTTGAAGGAGTGAATCAAAAGATCAGGAAAGACCCTTCTGTGATGAAAATATCGATAACTTTAAATATATTACAGTTAAAATCAAAGTTTTTTTCTAAATTGGCGAAATGACAGCGTAATTTCATTTAATGCTACGCTGAAAAAAGGACTTTAAGTCTTCAGATTGAATAGTAGTTATAGTACCTGGTGGCGCATGTCTCCAGGGTAAGCACCAGGCCCGAGGGACTCCTTGTGCTAACCCTGGTTGGATGCGCACTTGGTGCGAACCCTATTTTTCCTACTGAGGGAACACCACACCCTAAAAACGCCCGAAGTAGGAAAACTACTATTTCCTCCTTTCGGGTGGAAAGTACATTTCCGCCTGCAAATAAGAAAAGAAAGTAAATTTTGTAATTGGTGCTGCACATCATAAATATGTAATATGCAACATCTTTCGAGTGTCTTTCTTTGTACATCTTTAAAACAAGACCTGATTATTGTACGAAATTATATTACACATTTTTCCTACCTTGGGCTACTTCGACGGTTGGGTATGCCCTCGGTAGGAAAAATAGGGTTCGCACCTGGTGCGCATCCAACCTACAGAGCAAGCACAAGGAGTCCCTCGGGCCCTGTGCTTGCCCTGGTGACATGTTCCACCAGGTACAAAAACTACTATTGTAAAAAATTTCTTACAAAAAAATTAAATATTTTAATGAGGGAGTATCTAGGGCTTTAGATCAGGTGTCCAACTTTAAAGAGTGGTGACCAACTCTGAATTTAAAAAAATTGGTTGCCTCAGATTATTTTATCGAACTTTCGTGTATAACTATATACACATATTCATACATTTAAAAAGTAACTACAAGTTTATATAGTTATATCTCATAGCTAGAAGAGGACAGAGTCTAGCACAATGATGCCCTCTGGTGGTCATTTTTTAATACTGATACTCTCATTCCTTCAAATTTATGTTTTTTTGTTCGAGAAATGGTTGTTTAAGGGGCATCATATCCGTAACTCTTTTTTTTAATGTAAATAGAAGAAGAACAAATTGGTTTCTGAAAACATAAAAGTAATTAGAAATATCGAAAAGGATGCACACTTTTTTTCCTCTTTAACTTTGCTTCACAATTTGCAAATATATCTTATATCTTGTTTCATGGACATAGTTTATAAACATAGTCAAGAAAATAAAGCACAAAATCAGGCCATGCAAGCATGAATTGGTACAGTAACATGGATCGCAATTAAATTTTTTGCGCTCGATTCGTAATGCCGTCCCGAAACTTTATGTAGATAGTTCATTAGTGAGCTTTGAACAAATTAATTATAGCAATAAAAATAGTGGTCTTAGAAATTCATCGCCAAGAAGCATTAAATAACAGTTTGTCGAATAGGTCAATTATAATAGAAATGGGTCTCATTAGGTTTTTGCATGAAAAATTCTATTTCGTCCATCTTGAATAATTTTGAAAAACAATTAACTCGTATTTTTTTTTTTCTTAAAAATAAAAATTGAAAAAATATAGCACCTAAAAATTATGATATTTTAACAGTTACAGAAAATATCATATATATGTGAAGTTGTAAAGTATACATAACACGTGAATGTTCCACGATTAAGAACGAAAAAAATTAATAAAAAAATATAAAAAAACGATTTAAAACTTCTAAAGATACAGTGTTTTAAAAAAAGTTGATTGAAAACAACGTCCAATAGTGGTACTATCATATTTTGTATTTTGTAGCTGAACTAGCTACTACGCGCAGAAAAGAAACAGAGACTGTTTTAAGAAAAGGAACTTTTATTTTTAACTGAAAAAAAGTTATGCTATGCCCCATAAATACAACAGAATAACTCTGTAGTGATAAATCGGCCCTAAATAACACCACCTCTTCTGTCGTTAGGCATGCAATCATCGACACAATGATCGGATCAACGACCATCATGCTTGAGATATTCGAAAAACACCTTCTCTTATAAAAATACAACTATTTTTTTAGTAAAAAGAAGGAGAGGAAAAATGTACAATTAGATGGCTTATTAACAACTACCTTTGCCGCGAACATATTTATTTAAAAAACAAAACAACGTTTCAGCCGTTTGGACTGTTATGACCAGACTTATTCAGAGTAAGGTCTTAACTGTTTTATTTAAGTGTCATTTCATTTGTCGGAATCACTTTCGCTCCTTAGCGTAGTCCGATACTTTTGATGTTCTCGATATGCACTTGAGTTGCCTCAGCCAACACGTTATGCCTTACGTGTATAAGGTACTCACAAGTTGCGAGAGTCAAGAGTTGACTAAAACTTTAGAGGACAGGTGACAGACGTAAAGAGAGCACTTTTTCCTCTTGATGGTGCGTTTTTATAGCATCAGAGCGAGTAAAAGAGGCCTTTGGTTAAATTAGGTTAACCAATGAGCGATGTTCTTGCAGACTGCATTGACAGTTGCACGATGATGTTACATGTTATGATTTTACATATTAGGAAATAATAATACAACAGTACCAATCGCATTTTCTGACAAGTGCGATTAATTTCTTGGGTCAGTGATGATGAAAGCTCGTATCAGCAATATAAGAACGCCAAATACAAGCTCAATTGTGACAGTAAGCTTAAAAATTTCGAAATTAATCCTTCTGAGGATTTTACAATCAATGAAGTAATGTGTGAGTTACAAAATTTTAATTAGTATACATATCAAAATTAAACAATTAATGAGCAAGTAACTAATCATTCATACATTCATGTATTTTTACAATGAGGCTGGCCGTATTCTATGTCAGCATATTATGAAGCATTCACCTTAAAGCTAATACACACACGCGCACACATAAACGACATACAAGCTCCTCTTGTCATATTCACAATACGTCTCATCTGAATTTTGATGGACGGATAGTTTTTAGTTATAATATAATTCGTATCAACTCGGGATGTAACAGGACCATGTCCCGGCCCTCATCAGGTACAAAAATCTACGAGTAATAAAAATTCTTTGTAATTCGCTTTGAGCGTAATTCCAAAATCGTGCCCCCACTGGATACTTTGAGAACGATTGGTCATGATTAGAAAAGGACGGTACTATGAATTGATTTTTACATGCTTGTAGAGAAGCGACATTTAAGGGTTGGCCACCTGGTGAATGGAGCCAGAAGCTCGATTTTGTCATAATTACCTTTTTTAATTACGAGCAAGTGCCAGTGGGGGCGCGATTTCAGAATTGCGCTCAAAGCGAGTACGAATTTTAATAAATTACAATGAACGCAAATTTAGTTGAGTGTATAACATTCCTCTGACTCTTATGAAAGGGATGTTAAAAAAAAATTTTTGAAAAAAGTGTCGAACATACATACATTATGACCTCAAATAACGTATAAACAGTTACATTAAATTTGCTGAAAACTTAATACTGTATACATAATACCAAAACCAAGTATTTCTCAAAGTTTCAAGAAAAAATATTTGTTTTTTCTCGAGTTACAGGAAAAAATTAAAATGACTATTTTTCACATGTATTATCATGACTTCACATACACATGCATGTATGTGAAGTCATGATATTCCATGGAGTATATCTATAGCTATAAAATACAGAGAATCTTCAAGGGGATATATATTTCGAAGTTTTTAATTAAAAAAAAAACACATGCCTATTATTTTTCAAAATTGTACAAGATGGACTAAATGGAATTTTTCATGCAAAAACCAAATTTTGTTGACAATTTTCAGGGTCACTGAGCCCGATTATGCAGTCAGCGACAGCGTCTGATACATCTGGGGTTCAGGGTGGGCATCAAACATGTCGACTTCGGGGCTTTTGCATCTAATTCGTGGAACAATAAGTCAAAATACTAACTCGCTGGCTTTGAGAGTCGCAAATTACAAATGTGTAATTCATATTCATAGGTAATATGTAAGACACTAAGTTTAAAAGAGGACAAGACTCGAAGCTATGTACAGATGGACACCCTAAGCGGAAATGTTTTTATAAAAATTTTCGTAGAGTTTTTATTTGGTTTTTGCTATATTGAAATTGTATAAAAATATTTTTGCCTGGAACCCTGAGCTCTAGGTGCCTCAGCAGTCATCGCCGACGGCATAATCGTGCTCAACGACCCCTAGCACCCCCGAGTAAGTATTTTGACTTTGTATATCATGAATTAGATGCAAAAGTCCAGAAAATGACGAGTTTGACGCCCACCCCGGGTCCTACGTGCATCAGACGTCGTCACTTGCTGCATAATTGTGCTCAGTGACCCCCTAAACCTCCGAGTAACGAAATTGGACTTATTTCTATTATGAATAACCGAACTGTCTAATTGTTACTTAATGCTTTCTAGCGATGAATTTCTAAAACCACTATTTTTATTGCAATAGTTTATTTATTCAAAGCTCACTAAGGAACTATCTTCACAAAGTTTCGGGATGGCATTGCGAATCGAATTTAAAAAATTCCATCGTGATTCATCTTTTTGCGCTAATTTAAGCTTTCTCAGTGTTTTGGACGAAAAGTTGGCTAAGCCAAGATAAGGGAGAAAAAGACGCAATTCTAGGGGAGTCGGTGTGACTAAATGAAGGTCTGTGGAGAGCTGTAGGGAAGTTGTGGGGGTTTGTGTAGAATGCCTCATATAATTATATAATACAGAAAGATATATATTGAGCGCGTGGTGGCTCAGTCGGCTGGGTCGTAGATTGGCACGCGGGAGACCGTGGTTCGATTCCCGGCCAGTGCGACTTTTCGGGCATGTACCTCTGTGAATTTTTACATGAGCTTTTTTACCACGCAATGCTCCTCGAGGAGGGTCTAGGCGACCTTCTCACAGCAAATATTGCCTAACTTCCCTTACTTCTCTCCCAGTAATGGGGGGCCTCCCTCTTCCCTTTCTTCTTCCAAGTGCTAAGTGCTAAGTGCTAAGTGCTAAGTGCCCTCAGTAGTTCCTTTTATAGGAGCTGGACGTAAAGCACTATAATATAAAATATATATATACACAGTATAAGAAACTTGCGTGTTATATTTGGTGAAAAATTTTCAACTAGCTTTCGATATTTAAACTCAAAACTGTATACTAATCATACTAATATCAAAGATATATATATTTATACTGTGTTATTATTGTATACTAATCAACCTAAGTACAATACAATTGTAATAAAATATTTGACGATATGGTGACAAAAATAAATGAAAATAATGAAGTCAATAACTATAAACGAACCTTTTTAATTAACAAGTTTTTTACTTACTCAGTTATATTTTATTGATGTTTATTTTATATAACATACAACACTTAATTTTTAACTTTTATGTCAGTTGATTATAAATTTAGGTAATTAATAATTATTTTCACAGATTAGTTATGTAGGTGATATTTGAGTTTCTTTCGTAATTAAATTTCATCTCCATCAAAGTACCCAATTGAACCTGTAATAATGACGTTCCTTTCAGCAAAGCAATCGTGAATCTTTTTTCCGGTAGCACACAGACTGTTTGTACCTGAAAAAATTTAACATGAAAATTTGACGATCTAACTACTCAAGCAAATAGACGATTCCACTTTAACTCATCTACATAATACTCAGGGCCCATATATACTAATTATCGATGATGCTTATTGCTAAATAAAAAACAACACAATTTTTTGCAATTTAGAATAATCAAACAATCTGTGATCCATAGGCTTCAATTGAAATAGAAAAAAAATGCAACTTAGTATATTATATTAATTGTGTTTTCTGTCAGAATCATGAATAATTAGAGCTCCACAGGTTTTGAGCGTATGAACTAACATTTTTTTTATCTCTAGAGTCCTGACTGAAAAAGCTGTGTATCTTTTTGCGTTAATAGATAATTTAAATTATTTTGAAATTTTTATTATATGTGTTAATTTGAGTGAAAACATACTTAAAAGACTTGTTCCCACATTTTTTGAAAATTGACTTTTGAAAACCAAATTGAACAATTTATATCAGAATTCATCATCAATCTATGAAGATAGTTAAAGATATAAACAGTTTTTTTCTTACTTATATTTGTGCACTGATTGATGACATGGTATGCTACTGGAACAGAGAGAAATCGAGTAACAGAAGCTGCAACCGCTTCATAGTTTAAGGTTCTCTTAGTAAGCCATAGCTGCAATAAAAGTGTAAAATTGTTAATGATAATTATTTTATTACATTATTGTCATTCAATTTTGTATCATTATTATACATACATCTTTGACGTGTGTACAATAGCAGCCCACGTAGCAAAAGTAATTTATGTCTGATGAGTATGTGCGTGCATCTCGTATCAATTCATGCTTCTCTGAAACAAATCAGTCTGAATTTTATATAATATTAAAAATTTTAAAAGGATTCTTGACCAAGGTCAGTCTAATGATACAATACGCTTTTTTTACATGTAGTTGATTTATCAAGTCAAGAAATTGAAATATTTTAAATCTAAAAAAATTATTACCTCTCGTAAATCCAGTTTCATTATAGCAATAGTTTTGCAGTCTTGATATTAAACGTATGTCTTCCAGTGCTTCCTTAACACTTTTTCCCTAATAAAAAAAAATAGCAAAACAAGTTTTAAAAGTTTTATTTGTTTCATTTTAATTTGACCACCAACGTATTGTAGTAGCAAAAAATCTATACTAATAAACCTGATACTCCCTCGAGTCTTGGTAAAAGTATGGACTTAAATTAGAAATTGACAAACTTGAAATAGTTTGCCACTGTAAGACTTGAACATTACTTTATATTTTATTATTCAAGACGAAAAAATATCATTTACGTACCGATAGAACAAAGTTGATGGACAAAGCAAAGGTTAGCATGAGCAACTTATTCATCGTGTAATATTAAAAGACGGAAAATTTCTAGCGAGCATAGACAAAAGCACAAGTTTTTATTTGATATGAGCTTATTTGACCAAGAGCTTTGAGCTTATATGTACTATGTATATCTTCAAATTAACTAAAATATGATGGAAATAAATCAACTTTTATTTATTCTTATTGATTATTCATTTATATGAGCCAGCTCCATTAATATAAAATTGATAAAAAAATTTTCAATCGTAATCAACTACAACATTATTGTTATTATGTATCAAATTTTACCTGGTGCAAGCCCAAAACGTTTTTAAAAAACATTAGACTTTTATTTACAATTTTTTTGGCCATAGTGTAAATCTTTACATGCATAGTTCAAGGACATGTATTAGTCATAAGGTTGTTTCAAGGATTGTTTTAATGTTGACAGCATGGTTGAAATGTTGTTGGCTGTAGTGTTCGAAAATTGAAATTGAAAAATTTTTTACGAAGACGCGTAAAGGACATTTATAGTAAAAAAATTCAATATAACTCAATTTTTAATGGAGATATCATAAAGACTTTTGTTTTAAGTAAGACTCTCGTTGCGAATTTCAAGAAATGTGTTTTTGTGTAGGGATGTGATCAAATGAATAGTCTGCTTTAGTTCAAAAGAGCTTCACTGATTATTTATTTTATAAAACCGCCCAAAACAGAGTCATGCTTACGATTCTACTTACAAAATTAAAAGTAGTACCTAATTCAAGGTTTAATTCTCTAAGATGTATATAATTAATGCTTTTATCTAAATTTTCTTAATTGATTTCATTACAAAACTTATCTCGTAAATACCTTACAACTATAGATTTCTTGACCATTTATCATTAAAAATGAAAAGTTTAGATGTCGTTGTTCTCTGTTATTTTAGTGATGCGAGTCAATTTGAAACATAAGATTATGTTAATCATTTTGAAAGATACTGGTTATTTCTGGAAATGCCCATTCTATCATTTTACGTTTAAGTATTTGTGTGACCTAGCTCTGCTAATGTGACATAAATAAGATATTTTTCATTGTAGCCACTTAGCCGAGAGCCATCATTTTCAAAAAAACTTTTTAGGCCAACACGATAAAAATATAGTGAGGTCAAACCTCACTATCATATCTTACTAGTCTTATTAGTATACATAAAACAAAGTCGCAAAAACCGTTGTAATCGCTCACCTCCAAAACTACTCAATCGATCTTGCTGAAAGTTCGCATACTGATTTTTGATACTCGTTAAGTTTTTACCTTGAAAAAATTAATAACATTGGCAATTAATATGCTAAAAGTTTTGCAAAAATACTCTAGATTTTACTTTAGTTCAGCAGGATCCACTAGGAGGCATCGATGTAAAATCGAAGTTACATGCAATCAAAGTGAGTGGGTCCGGTTATAATATCCTTGAGCATCATGACGATTGCTGTAATCGTTCACTGGCAGTACATTAAGAACAGATATAATTAGTTGAGCTGCTGGATATTCTGTCTACCAACAAAACTTCCAATAGATAAGCAACTTACTTCGAGTAACACCATGGAAGGCCAATATTACCAAATAACTTGAACAAATAGGCCTTTCGAAAGCTAATTTCTCCAGCGTAATACTTATTGAAGACGTCCAGCCAGAGCACAATCTGATCTAACACTTGAGAATTTTGTGCCCGTTCTTCCAATCAATCTGGTACTGTCAGAGCACATATTGCTACAATAGCAAGATAGGGAAAACAACCCTGAGGAGTTCGGGCAGACACATTGGCTAAAAATTTCTACAGTCTTCTCCTCGGTAGTTCTCTTCCAAATGTAATTTTTCATTTAAATGATAACGTATAACCATATGCTAAAAGCATATTGTTCTTTTAGTATGAGACAAGTGGTTTGGAAAAAAAATTTTCGTAATAACAGTAACTTAATAAGAATAAAGAGATGATTATAAAAAGATTTTAAAATGTGAAGCCAGTTTTTGAGCTATTAACTTTTTTTGTGTCTATTTTCCCCTAAAAAAGTAAAAATCAATTGTAAGCCTTTGCCACGCTATAACCAAAATATACTCTAACTAGCGGCCCCTTCGTCTCGGCTTCGCTCGAGTTTCACTAAATGGAACACCGCAGTTCGTTGACATGTAATGTGAAACGTTTTCAGTTAAAAATTTAACATCTGTTTGTGACAATTCTCAAAACAAAAATCTTTTTATTGAAAACGTATTTATTCGGAATTCATACAGTTTATTCGATCAAGTAAAAAGCTGTAAATAGTGAAAAAAATATAATTGTGCTGAAAAGTATCGTGAATTCCTTATGCCATACAATAATTGTTGTCCATAAAAGGTTATTAATTTGCAGTTTCTCCCGTATAATTTATGAACAGGGCTATTTTTTAAAGCTGTAAAGACTTAAAACTAACAGGAAATATATTATTAAAAAAAACTTTTTTCTCGTACCTCACAACTTTATTACCACAGCAACGAAGTCCTAAAATTTTATCTCTACATTCTTTATCGCCACAAACATACAATTACATATTCTACCTATTTAGAAATCTGGAAAATTCAAGAGATTACTATGGGGATTATAGTAAAAAGCTGATTTCTCACTTAATAAATTCTTTATTTATTGATTGTGATGCTTTAATCTTGATAAATGTTTAGCGTCATTTTCTTGTCGCCTAAAATTGTATTCATTAGATGTATTTGAAGTTTTCCTTCCAGTTCGACTTCTTGTGACTTTTAGCATAGTTAAGACTTTTGTGAACCCTTAAGGCTATTATTTTTAACTTCATTAGGTTGTAATATATTTGTTGGCAAGGTATTTCGACGTCCGATAACCCTGAAAAGGACAGATGAGCTTTTTAAGTAATTTCTTTTGTGACTGAAGCTTCCTGGAAACGTGACTACCTTCATACCTCAGTGTGATCTTCTCTGGCTTGTTATTGTAGCACTTCACTGATTGGGAGGAGAACTACAACTTTTGAAGCTTAGGGGCTAGTTGTAGAGCTCTTTCCCAACGTCTCCTGGTATAACGTCGTAGATGTTGGTGTCTGAAGCACCTTCTTTTTTTGCAGACTCAGTTGTGTTGGTGATCTAAGGTGGAGAGATTAGTTCGTGATGCTAAAGAAATAATTGATAGTACCTAAACTGGCAGGACATTTACAATTTTTTTTGACAGGCAATTCGAAGAAAAAATGAGACCATTTTTAAAAAGCCGAAAGTATTTCATAAGTATGTTATATATTTTACAGTCATGGCTTATGAACCAACAAATTTACGGAAGCGCATTTGACGATATCACATATTATCATTGCGCAACTTTAGGCTCTTCTGCAATATTCCATCCCTCATTTCTACTTTAGCAAGCCATCTCTAAAATTTAAAGACGTTGTACAGTATGTGCACTACGAAGTTCTTGTGTTTTCAATAAGTAACATGAATTAGACTACTTATTATATAACTTTGATGGACAACTGCCGCTTTAATCCCCTTCTCTAAACTTCTACAAATTGTATTTGAATGACTGTAGGTAAAAAAAGCTATTGCAGTATTGTTTAGTAAGCTGTTAAGTATAAAAAAAGCAACGGTTGATACGCAACTCTATCATCAAGAAAAAAACAAAGGCTAGATAGTAGACGCTAATAAATAGGATACCAAAATAAGGGACTTAAGATTGATAAAGATTCAGAAATAAAGGCAATTGTACAATGACAAAAATGTAGAGACATAGACTATTTGATATACGGTAAAATCTTCATAGAAGTATCAGAGGTGCAAAGATAAATATGGAATGACAAAAATATAAAGGATGGTAACTAATAAAAATACTTAAAAAAAAAAAACATCAATGTTTATAGAAAGAAATGTTTGATTTTCAGAAGCAATAGTAAAAATGTTGTTGAAAAACTGTCAGTAAGTCTTACACGCATTTCTTGTGCCCTTAAAAAAGAGCAATATGTATACAATGGTAAGCAGATTAAGACTGGTCATGGAAGTGATCAGCAACAACAATGTGTTTTTGTATGCATAAACAAATGGACAAAAAACTGAATTTTTTTAAAAGGATCCGATCACGCGTGCAAAACCATATAGCAGTAAGTCAAAGGACGCGCGCGCCAGGAGCTACCTCACCACTGCCTACCCAAGAAATGCCTCCTTCTCTTCCCGTGAGCTATCATTTATCCACACACGTATATGAAACTGCGTATATAGTAGGAGAGAAAGTCAAAGCGAGAGAAAAAGAGAGACAGGCAGGCAGAGGCAAAGGCACCATACACCATCACCACCGCCTCTCGCGGAACCCGAGTTCGTACAGAGTCCTCAGTCTCGGCCGAGGTAGCGAGCCGCATGGACGTCTCCTGTCTCGCTCTGTTTTTCCATCCCTTCGATTCACCCATCCATCCCCTGTTTTTTATTTTTATTTTTTTTACCAGTCTCTTTAAAGTGGTCGTGCACACTGGGATAGCTCGTGTCGTGGTGCTTGCCACAAGTTTTTGATATCTATTGAACGCGTGTCTCGGTACAGTTTGTTGTAAACAAAAAAGAAAAAAAAAAGATTCTTCCTCCGTACTCTCAGTGAAGGTGGTGTTTGTTATCAGTTTCGTGAATACTGTGCCCATAGAGTTCAGTGCCTTTTTTTCCTATAGTAATAAAAAAAGGGAAAACCACAGTGGGGTGTACAAGGTGCGTGCAGACAAGTGACAAAAAAAGGGGCGGGGGGGACAGAGGAGCCACAACGGCTCGATATTATATGGGACCGATAACACCCCATGGATAGCAACATGTCGACCGCGGCCTACACGCACCGGTGAGTCCTTTTTTTCCATTTTTTTTTTTCTTCCTTCCGTCTCGCAGTTTGGTCGATAACACTTGTGTACCTTTTCCCCTTGTGTTCAATCATTGCACCTTTGTTGCGTACAATACTCTGGACTTCTCCCCTTTCTCCTGTCATCCACCGAGTAAGTATGTTCATGTATACAGGCGCGCAAAGCCATGCAGGCCCGGAAGGGCGGGTTGTCTCACCCCCTTTCGATTCCTCCACCAGCCATTTTTTCGTTTCGTCTCGTTTGATAGGGAAAC